GTGGTAGGACTGATTCCTAACAGCATAAAAAAAATGTATTTAGGCTAAACGCATCATTGAAGAAATCAAGAAATAAATTTTAGAATTCCAAGAATTAAAAAAATGAGAACACAATGAACCAAAACCTATGGGTTACAATTAAAATAATCCTAAGAAGGAAGTTAACAGCTACAAGTGACTCCATTAGAAATTCAAGGTAGTCTCAAATAAATAATGATGTGATGTGCCTAGGGCTTTAAAGAAACAAAAACATGCGAAATGCAAAATCAGTAGACAGAAATAAATATAATTAATGATATGGACATGAAAAAAAAAGTCAATGAAAAAGGACCAAGAGCTTTGAAAAGAAAAAAAATACTGCCAAATTCTCTAATCAAATCTACAAACTTAGAAATGAAAAGAGAGTCATATGGCAGGCACCAGTGAAACTCAGAGAATAATCATATATCAATATATATATATATATATCAATAATATATTTTAATGTATATTTCATTAAGTTGGAAAATATTAAGGTAATGAATAAATTTTAAACACATATGACCTAGCAAAATTAAACCAAAGTGCATCAAATAATTTGTATACAGACCTGAAATAAATAATGAGATTGAATCAGTAATAATGACAGCAACTATAAAATGTCCAGATAGACTCACTGTTGAATTCTAACATATTCAAAGGAGAGCAGAATTCAGGGCTCCTCAAACTATTGTACAAAAGAGACACGTAAGGAATGAAGCCCAACTCTTTGTGAGCCAGCATTACTCTGACACCAAAATTGAATAAAGATGCAATCAAAGAAGAAAGTTATAACTCAATCTCTCTGAAGCAATTCTGAACAAAATATTTGCAAAGTAAACTTAAGAGCACGGTAAGATCATTCACTGACCGTGATCAAGTTGGCTTCATTCCAGAAATGCAGAGATGGTTCACCATACGCAAATCAGTAAATATAATAAATTAAATGGACAACCCCCAAAAATGAACTCACATGGTAAACTAATAGAAACATGGAAGGGCTGTGACAAAATTCATTACTCACAGAAGATATATCCATCATTCAATATAATAAAGCTATTTATGACAAACTACAACCAAAGTGGACTAGTGAAAAAGAACTCAAAACATGCCCATTAGGTCAAGAGAAGGCAAAAACACCACACTAGCCCAAGACTGTGTGTTTCAAGTCTCAGCCAGATCAAGGAAGTAGGAGGCAATAAGGAAGAAATAAATATGGTCCTATATATGAGACCCTAAGGAGCCACCAGCAAATTTGTAGAGTTGAATGCTTTCTGCAAAGTATCAGGATAAAATGTGTAATATATATATGCCTTTCTAAACACCAGTAGCTAACAGGTTGAGAAACAAAATCAAGGCAACAATCGCAAATGCAATTATGGAGGGGAAAAAAGGAATAAACCTAACTAACCAAGAAAGTGAAAGACTTCAGCAAGGGGAGTGTTAGCACAATGGACGGGGAAACCGAGGAATACACCAGAAGCCAGCAAGAGCTCTTATGCTCATGGACTGGAAGAATTGATATTGTAAAAATGAGTATGCTACCAAGAGCATCCTACAGATCCCCAGACTCAATGCAATGCTCATCTAATTGCTAAGCTATCCATCACAGTAGGAAGCACAAAAGATCCTGGATATTGTATTAATAGCCAAGGTGGTCCTGGGCAAGAAAAGAACACTGAAAGTGACTCCCCACATCTGATTTCGAGTTATACCGAAGACTTGTATCATCAAAACCCCTACTGGCATAAAAACTGATATGCAGATTGATGAACTAGAATAAAGACCTGACAAATCAACCAACACAATTACGGCTACATGATTGACAAACATTGAATAACACACATTGAAGAAATGGCAGCCTCTTTGAGAAAAAGTGCTGGGGACAGATTTCCTCAACCAAAGGGGGAAACTGAATCCTTATCTCTCAGCGTGTACACAAACCAAGTCGAAAGAGATCAAAAACTTTATGTACGACTTAAAGTCTGAAACTATTAGAGGAAAATTTCAGGGAAAAAAAAAACACTTTAAGTGACAGGCATGGGTGAGGACTTTCCTAATAGAACCCTTGTCCTTCAGCAAGTAATCACTAAAAAAGGTACATGCAGTCAGGTTGCTGCTGCTATTGCCACTAGACTGAGTTCTCAGAGAACTAGCTGTAAAGATGATTTAAAATGAATTCCTAATTGGCGGAAAAAAGACTCACGGATATGTGGTTCTGACATTAGGCTTAACCTCTACACAAGGGCTGGGAAGTAGCTCAGTGGGAGAGCATTAACTAGCCTATGAGGCAGATGCTGAGTTCCTTGCCTAGAACCACAAAAAAAGGGGGGGGGGTTGGTAGAGGAAGAAGAGAAAAGGGAAGGAGAGAAGAAGGAAGAAGAAGACAAGAAAAGATGCACAGCATCCCCAGGGGAGAAAAACTGAAAATCATTCTTGTGTCTAAAGGATACCTGGTCCTTCATGTTTCTCCATCCTACTGGCTATATTTTCACGTTGGAGGTGTTCTTCGTGGCTGTTCAGTTCCGGAGATGAGTATAGAGTTATCTAAGCAAACACTCATTTGTCATCTCATTACAGACCCTGGAATGTTCTCCCACTTGGCACCCTCTCTCCCTCTCCGCCACCACACCAGGAGAGCCGTCTCCTTAAGAGCCAGCTCCTTGTCCATAGCCTTTATTTTATTTTAAGGTTGTTAATTTTTATTCTTAATTGTGTGCGTGTGTGCACGTGCGTATGCTTGCGTGCACTGGCAATGGAGGTCATAAGAGGGAGGATCTGGAGTTAAAAGTAGCTGAAATTCATCTGACATGAGTGCTCGGGAACCGAACTTGGGCCCTCTGTGAGATTAGCGGGTGCTTTTAATCACAGAGCCATCTCTCTAGGCTCTCTAGCCTTTGCCTCTAAGGGCTGCCGTGCAGCGGCCTTCCTCTAAATCCTGTGAGACTGCAGCTCTCACACACCAATAGAATACCGTCCAAGCCACTGACAGGTCACTGATGTAAGTGTTTTCCCTGGGATTACATCAGGATAATCTAGGATAACAAAGAATACAAATACCACTCCTTAATGGTGCTGGAAAAAATAAAGTCAGTCATTCCATTATCCCAAATATAAATATCTCTACAGATGCAAAGCCTCGCTGCCAGAATTTAATCTTCACTAAAAATAAGCTGTTTCCTGTGCTTAATGGGACGGAGCAGTTAAAACACCACCAAGTGACTACACCTACCTCACCACTAGGTCAGGAAACTCTATCTGACTGCCCAGAAAGGGCACAGACCGCTGACCCCAAAGTATGACGAAACCTCCCCAAGGCTGTGAACTGTGTGACAAGCAGAATCCTGTCTGCAGTTCGAGCTGCTCCATTATACCCACCTCCCCCTGTACCCCTGCCTTTGAGGACTGGTTAGAACCACAGGATGACATGGACTTTCAAACCCCAACAGGAGGGCAGAGCTTGCTCCGTCCTGCCCTCTGACCTGCTCCCTGTCTCCCACCGCTAGGCACAACATCTCCCTTCCTCTTTGGTGTTGTATGGGCACACTCTTCTTTCTCATGTTCGCTCAGGACAGGACAGAAGCCTGAGGTGATGTGAATTGCTTTTTTAAAGCAGTCGAAATGAGAGAATGTCTCTATGCCTTGGAGGGAAAAAAATACAAAAAAAAAAAAAGCCAAGAGCAAGGAGGTGCGTGGAACCTTCCTCAGCAGAATCATGATGCCACCGTCTCTCCCTGGAGTCCTGGCGCACTCTTCATACCGTCTTCATACAATACACTGCCATTCGGGTTTCCCTCCATCCTTAAAGCATTTCGCTTTTAAAGCTTCGCTTCTCTTGAATGAAACGGGTATCCTGAGCTTCTGAGGGGATTTTTAAGTAAGTATTAAGAAAATGCTGAAAACCATCCCAGTGTAATCCTGTCCAGTCCACATATGATGTATATAAAATTAGACAGTAGTGATTTCGATTCGTGGAGGCAGATCCACACACGGCGTCTGGCCAGGAATGGGTTCATCCTTACTATGATGACCATCCAAAGGCTGGATGACGGAGGAAGAAGCCTAGTATTGCAGCAAACCTCAAAGCAGTTATTACTCAAGAAGATGTTAGGTCATCTGTACTCTGTAATGTCTGCCAAGTATCCGAATCAGAAAAGCCACTAGACGGTTGTCTATATGATTCTACATGGAGGTGAAGATAAGGCCTGATGTAGTTAAGGTGTAAAGACTTAGAAACTAATTAAAACAACAGGGAGGGAGGGAGGGAGGAAGGGAGGGAGGAAAAGAGGGAGGGGGAGAAAGGGAGGAAGAAAGAGAGGTTGGTTTTTAGGTTCCATTGAACATCTGCTTCTTAGGGAGAACTAAGATTCCTTACAAAAAGAAACACAAAAAAAGTCCCGCACCAACAGCGACATCCCATCATCGCACGAACTTTTGTGATGAACCTGGCAGGAGGTACATGAGAAGAGGCAGCATTGGAATGAATAGGAGACCTTGTCCTCAAAATACCATAGCGAAAGAAGTCCGTGGACTAGACATGAGCGAATCCACGGGGTGAGCGCATGACAGGAAACCATCAAGTCGTCTGGGAGATTAGAATAGGATGATAAATTCCACCCAGGCCAGGAACCCAGAAAAGGTACAATAGGAAATATGATACTTTAGCTGAGTATTAAAGAATGTATATGAATTCATGTATTGCCATAGGGAGTACTTCAGCTGTGCGCGCATGCGTGCCTGCGTAAGTGCGTGTGTGCGTGCATGCGTGTGCATCCTCTATGACCCGAGGCAGCACGGGTGATAATGAACGTACACAGTGGGCCTAATCAGCTGCCCCCAGCTGACTTTTCTTAGGCCCTCCTTGATCACGGCACAAATATGAAATTCCAGAGTTACACAACTGCTTTCAAAAATAAGCATTTTCAGTCAATTGCCGAATTCTTTACTAAGTAATGAGATTTTTACAGGATTATTAGTCTTACCTCCATGGGAAAAGCTTTGAAATTAACTGTGTGCTCAGAACCACGCTGGTTTTCTCTTCCCCAGTGAAATCTGACTTCATACAGTTCAAACTCATGTCCCTGAGGCAACGGTCCTCCCGACAGAACTGAAGAGAGAAAACGACACGGCTGAATGATGTCACAAGATTTACACACGAGAGGCATTTTGATTATGCTGCTGTTATTGTCCCAAGAAGCTCCCCTGGGCTCTAAAGACTGAATTTGCAAAGTCAAAATGAGAACCATACTGAGGCAAATTTCAGCTGTCCAGGTTTCACTCACTTACGCTTGCCATTCAGACAGGACCTTGGTCGTAATGTGGATGTTTTAAGTTTTTATTTCAGTCCAGGAATAGGTAAGGAAATAAATCCTTCTTGAGACTTTAAAAAAAAAGATTTATTTTAAATTATGCACCAGTGTGTCAGATCCCCTAGAGCTAGAGTTACGATCAGTTACTAGCCACCTAGTAACTAGCTACTTGGTGCTGGAAACCAAGTTCGGGTCCTCTGCAGGAATAGGACTGCTGTAACCAGTGAGTCATCTGCCCAGTCCCCTTACTGTGACTTTTAAGCTGGGCACTGATCAAGAGACAAGAATATGGTTAGGGGAAATCTGCCCTCTGCCGTAGATAGATCAATGAACTAAGCCACATCTTAGGGTCATCCTCTAGCGTTAGGAGACTTAAATCAGAGAAAAGGTCTAAGCTGATGAAATTATCCAAGAAGAATTAATATTAATACAGCCAACAAGGGCTCTGGCTAAGAATAGTCGCTGCTCTTGCAGAGGATCCCAGTTTGGTTTCCAGCACCCCTTATGAGGCGGCTCATAACCTGCAATAACTCCTTTAGAAAAATGTAGAGCTCAATAAAATAAAGAAAGAGAGGGGGGGAAGGAGGGAGGGAGGGGGAGGGAGGAAGGAAGGGAGGGAAGGAGGGAGGGAGGGAACAAAATTCTGAATTTAGTTTGAGGTGCCACATAAATGTACTTTCAATCTATCCCTTAAGATTGACTGTTCATACACCAAAGTAAATCGTCACTCTGACTTCACCCAGTGAAATCCTCTGCAGATACTACTCTCCCTGTCTACAAATGTTGCTGATGAGGAAAACAGTTAACTCAGCAGTTTGTTTCCACATCACACTACATTCTGGGCCCTGATTCCTTGGCACTGCTTGGCAGATTCCTTGTTGGGATGACATTGATTTGAATGAAATTACAATGTAGCAACAAAGTGGTGGTTCTGATGACATGTCGCATTTCCCCATAGTGACAGAGTTGGGAAGAGAAGCTGAAACTAGTTGATGCTGTTACTACAGGTCCCCATTTCTTATCTGCACTTCAACAAACCTTGCCATGATGCTTAAGGGATGTAGAAAGAGCTCCCAAAGGAATGCTCTACAAAATCAGAGAGTCATGTGACAATTTGATGAACAAACATTTACCTAAAGCTTTCTAAGCCTCATAATCCTTTGATGAAAACAAATTTACCATGTAATTCAAAAGCAGTGACTGGAGAAGAATTTCTTTATAGTATATTTGAACTGAATACACATTTTGAGTGGAGTGACCACAGGGTAGATAGAGCAAAAGGATCTGATCTCAGCAGTAGCCAGGCACTCCCAGTGCAGGCAGCCAGGCATCGCCAGTGCAGCCAGGCATCGCCAGTGCAGCCAGACATCCCCAGTGCAGCCAGGCATCGCCAGTGCAGCCAGGCATCCCCAGTGCAGCCAGACACCCCCAGTGCAGCCAGGCATCCCCAGTGCTGCCAGACACCCCCAGTGAAGTCAGACACCCACAGTGCAGCCAGACACCCCTAGTGCAGCCAGGCATCCCCAGTGCAGCCAGGCATCCCCCAGTACAGTCAGACACCCCCAGTGCAGCCAGACACCCTCAGTGCAGCCAGACACTGCTGTGGACTATTCCTTTACACTGTGAGAATATATGTTGCTATGATTGGTTTAATAAACAAGTTGACTAGCCAATAGCTGAACAGAATAAAGTTAGTCAGGAAAGCAAAACTGGGAATGATGGGATGAGGAAGGGCAGAGTCAGGAGTTGCCAGCCCGATGCAGAGGGAGTAGGAGATGAACATGCCAAGCACATGTTCCAACACAAATAAGGAATATGGGTTAACTTATAATGTAAGAGCTGCTTAGTAATAAGCCTGAACTGTTGGCCAAACATTTGTAATTAATATTAAGTCTCTTAGTGGATATTTAGGACCTGGCAGTAGGGACAGGAAATTTCCACCTACAAGGCACTCAGTGCAGGCAGACATACCCAGTGCAGACAGACATCTCCAGTGAAACCAGGCTTCCCCAGTACCTAAACAGTGTTCTCAATAAGAATTATCAGAGACAGTGAAGACAGCATTTGGACAGTAGGAAGACACCCAGCTGAGGCCAAGGGAGAACCAGGTAGCATACACAGAATCATTGAAGACTTTCTGGATGACGGCCAAGCTGAACCTTGAAGAATATGCTAATATTCTTCTATATTCTAATAGAAAACCTCAGCCAATGTAGGAAGAGAAGCCTGGGAAAGGCTCAAGATGCCTGGGAAAGGCTCAAGATACCAAAGAGTTCACATATGTTCTGAGAAAACCCTAAGTCACCAGTGATGGACAGAGGCTCTACACTGGGCAGGTAGGATTAGGAATGGCCATCTAGCCTAAATTAGATTGAAAACTATAAAAGACCCAGAAGTAAACATTTCTTATTAAAATTGCTGTAAGACATTACAGTGGATAGCACAGATAAGCCAGAGAGATTAGCAGTTTAGCAGTTTCTCTTATACTTATGACCAATTAAAAATGTCCTCACTGAGCACAGGGGGCATGCACCTGTAATTCCAGTACTCAGAGGCAGAAGCAGGAGGATGGAGAACTGAAGTCCAGCCTGGGCTGATAGCAAGAATATATTTCATAAAACCAGTATTTACCCTTTGTAGTCAGACAGAGCTCGGGCAATGCCACACACCTGGGTACCAGACTGTCCTCAAAAGAAACTCATCCTGATCTGTAGTCACCACCTATGGCTTCTGTTACCTTCATTCAATCACAAACTGAAAATACTGAGTTTAAAAATTCAAGCAAATAGATTTCCTCCCCATAATTTTTATTCTAATATGTGTTAACAACTTTTATATAATTATTATATAGTGCTAATTTTGTACTGTGTTTAATTTATAAGATAAACTTTGTCATGAGTAAATATAACAAGAAGAATAATGTAGAAAGAGTTTAGCACACGCAAAGGGGTCTGAGAACCTAGCTACTGACAATAAATGAGAACTAATGGCACTATATTTTAATATTTATGCTATTTTTCATATCATTCTAAATATGTTCAGTTTCCTTCACATCAGATGTGAAGATTCCTGCCATTCATCAGTCCTGATGGGAAAGCAAGTAATATACGTGACCGCTTTAGATAACTTCTTCAATTCAAGGAGATGATGGGGCAAGGGGTCTGGTCAAGTCATCACCCACCAGTAGTAGGATGTGATAATGAGCCACATTCCAGGCTCAGTGGAAATCTGCCGCTTTCCACCAGATCTGATGTAGAGACAGATGGTGACAGGACCTGAGCCATGGCAGTCTTGGGGTCTCCACTCCTGCCCATCACTATCCATTCCCTCCTCTCCCTACTCCACACACTCACTAACCACTAGAGTTCTGCAGTCTACACCTCAATACACCCCTGTGGCAGCCCTACTTTTCCTCTGGGTACCGAAATAGCCTCAGTCTCGGGTCAGCACTAAATCCTTCTCTGTCCTTCATCCCAACTCATTCTGTGGTACTTACTGTGTTAATTTTCCCAGGTGAACATGATGCTTGAGACTCCTCTTGGGAGGAGTCTTTCAACTCCGTTCATGGTCCCTCAAGGCTGTGCTCTTACACACCCTCAGTCTTGTGGTTCCCATTAACCCCTACAGCACAAATACATCTTCCAGGCATGCTACACGAGTCACCATGCCTTGTCCTAGCATCTCCACGTTTCCTCTATATCCTTGGATTTTTTTTTCAGCTCTCTGCTCCCTATAGCACCAACCTATAAGCATATTTATCCTTGATGACTTCAAATCCTACTTTCTCCCCAAACCCTGCTCTAATAATTTCCCTTCAATATTGAACGATCTCCCTTAAACAGCTCTGCCTCTGACTGACATTTACTACACCCAAAGCACAGGAGATAAAAACATAACATTGCCAACCGCATTCTGTCAGCCAGAGGAAACCAAAGAGCAAGTGAGTTTGCTGCACAGCCGCGCCTCCCGCTTCTCCTGACACATCAGACTTCCGGCAGACCAGCCATGCTCCGTCCAGGCCCTCCCCTTCCCACTCCACAGGTAGGTCAGACAGCCAGTACCTATTTCCAGTCTTTTGTTCTCCTAGCTGAGATTGTCTCGAGTTTATACTGCTGTGGTAAACAACCAGCAAGTGCTGAGAGGTGACAGACAGGACTTGTCGGGAGATGAAGGAGCACATGTGTCATGCTGTGGAAGATTAGCTGAAGATGGGCGACATTTGTTTATGCCGTGGAACACTTGCTTAACGAGGCAAAGATGCGTTGTATTCTTTCACGCTGCATTTGTTTAACTCTGTGAAGCTGTGATACTTCGCCTGTCTAAAACATCCTGATTGATCTAACAAAGAGCTCAATGGCCACTAGCTAGGCAGGAGAAAGGAAAAGGACAGGCAGGACTGGCAGGTAGAGAGAATAAACAGGAGAAATCTGGAAAAAGAAATGGAAGAGAGAGAAAAGAAGGCGAGGAGGACATCGGGGTCCAGCCACCCCGCTGCACAGCAAGCCACAGAGAAAGGGGTGAAGAAATGCATATAGACTAGAGAAAGATAAAAGCCCAGAGGCAAAAGGTAGATGGGTTAATTTAGGTTAAGAAAAGCTGGCTAGAAACAAGCCCAGCTACGGCTGGGCATTCATAAGTAAGGAAACGTCCCCAGGTGTGTAATTATTTGGGAGCTAGGTGGTGCCCCCCCCCCAAAGCGGGGAAAAAAAAAAAAAAAACAATGACAGTGTCAGAAAGGAAAAACACCGCCTGCCTCACAGAATGACAGTGGCATTCCAAAGGACACCTGTGAAAGCCT